TATATATATATATATATATATATTTACATATGACCTTTGTTTCTTTTTCGATAAGAGTCGAACCAAAAAAAATTTCCTAAAATCTTGATCGATATTATTATCAGACCAAAATGATATAATTCAATTGTATACGTATAATATAAAAATGAATGAATATTTTTATACTTTGGTTCGACTCTTCGCAGAATCAATTATTTTAGGTACTCTTCAGTAAGCAGAGCAGAAATTCATCTAGGATGTACTCGAGAAAAAAATTAATTAATTTATTATTAATTATATAAATATAATATAAGTTATCTTTTCATTTCTTTCATCTCATTGTCATAAATTATTTATACTCCGTGTGGAATATTGTATAACTTTTCATTTTAGCACACCGAGTATATTAATTCAATATTATTTCATTGAATTTTTTTTAATTGTAATATTTGTCTGTGTCGTGTTTTATCGACATGTTTCCACATTTAAAGAGCCCGCAAGATTCTCGAGAACCGCAGCTTGGCGGATGAAGAGCGTATGGACGCCCTTGAGAATCAGTTGAAGGAAGCAAGGTTCCTAGCCGAAGAAGCTGACAAGAAATACGATGAGGTTTGCGAGCCCACGAGTTTCGTGCGTGCAAGCTGCAGTGACAATGATAATAATAATCACGATAATGACGATGCCGTTAACGATGACGATGATGGTTCCTAGTTGATAATCCTAACAACAATAGTGCCTAAAAATATCCACCCTAATTTTTTTTCTATTTCTTTTTTTCTTTCTTCTTCGTTTATATTTATATTTTCTTTTTTTTTTATTATTCTATCTCTCAATCTTTGCCAACTTTACTTCGATTATCTATTTATCTATTTATATCTAATAGATAACAAAATTAGATAATCAATATCCTAATAAAACCACAAGTTTCCCATAATCTTCGATAAACTCCTCCCCCTCCCTTGTTTTTGTGTCTTCATCGCGAGATCGATAGAAAATATGTTGCAAAATTTTTTTGACGAATTTCAAATTTGTCCCCTCCCATTTTATTGTCCGTTTTGTTCGAAACTTTAAGTGATAAATAACGCGGGAGGAAAAGTTCTTTTTTTATGATAGATACTTGATCTGTGATGCCAAAATGATATAAAAAAGAAAAATATAATCGTCAACCCGTTGATGATGATGATGATGATGATGATGTTGTTGTTGTTGTTGGTAATGTAGTTATCGTTTGATGTGTAAACGGTTCGCGAAATGAATCGGAAAAATAAAAGTGCAGTGATTACGAAATGTTTCTTCTTCCTCTTCGTGAATTTAAGAGGAACGAAGATAACTTCGTTGGAACGAGTGATAAAAGCGTCTGTGATTTTATTAAAAAAAAATAAAATAAAATAAGGGTTGGATAAAGTGTTTTGTTTAAAAAAAAAAAGTGTCCGGTTCGTATATTTCGATAATCGAACATTTTGTTTCACACTAATTAAACAAAGTTTAAAATCATCATAAAATTCGTTCTCGGTTTTAGTGGTTTTTTATTCCTTATGGGGTATTTTGTTGGATTTATTTTTCCCCTCTTTTTCTGTGTTATATTACGGAGAGAAGAAATTGTTAAAAAAGAAAAAAAACATATGATAGAAAATAATTTAATCATGGTGCTGCTTTCGTCCAAAGACAGGACATCATCCCACACTTTATCACGATTAAACACACTCTCACATTATTTGTTGATTATATAAATTTACTTTTCTTTTCTTTTTTTTCTTTTTTGATGGAATTCGAAACGTTTATTCGTGTGAAAATTGATATTTAAAAAGCGAAGGGGAAAAAAATCACGACAGGGGTCTCCGAGACAAAATATCAGTGACTGTTCTTTTTTGTGGTAGGTGTCCTACGAAAAATTATTGCTTTGAAATTACAGAGATACAAAAAAATATTAATAGGAATGTACAATTTTGAAAAGATATATAAATCAAATTTAAAAGAAAAATTATATTTGATAATTATATTTCGAAAAAAGAGAAAAAATAAAGGAAAAATAGAATTACAAATTAAAGAGACAAATTTTATTATCTAGTTGGTAGTTTTTATTTTTTAAATTTTGTTCTAAATAATTCGAGTTAGAATTCGTTAACGAATAAATTTGTTTTCCCCCATTAATTTTTATTTCTTTGTAATTTCAAGTAATTCACGCGTATCAATCATTCCCTAATTAAGTTATCCAATTACGACTTCTAGCGTCAACATCGTTGTTGTTAATCAAGATTTTTTTGCATTAAAAAACTAACGATACCGTATGAGTGCACTTTTTTAACATAAGATTTGCAATTTCATTGATGATAATTATCAATAATACATATACCCCTACTACGGTAGTGTTGTTAGATCTACAACTACCGGATATACGTGTCCTGTCATTAATTATTTCTAATTAACTATCTAACCAATGGTGTTGTTACATTTCTTTAGATAGATGCTTGTATGCGTGCGTTTTTATTGCTATGATTTATTCTAACGATTGAAGATTTTTTTACTTGCTGATCGAATTCATAGAAGCCATATTTTTTAAGCGTTTATTATTTTTAATTTTTTTTTATTTATTTAAATAAATTTCCTACGCTTTCGTACTTTCCAGCAAGGATGATTAATTTTTTTTTATATATTAGGTGATTATAAAATTAATAAAAATTCAAACACGTACATTTAATTCGATACAATGACAGTAAGTTTGTTTTATTTTATTATCAATTAATAAATAAAAAAAATAATACTACGAACAAAATTACAGGTAATTACTTCGCTTTTATAGCAGATTAATTGTTAGCACCGACAATGTTTCATATTTTTCAAAAATAAAATAGTTTAACGCGTGTGTTACGTCATGCTTGCTTGAAAGTTTGTTGCATGATCCACAAAAAGATTATTATGGACGAGAGTAAACGAAATTTTGTGTACGAATACAATTTTTAAATTGTTAAATAATGCAATATGTTTTTGCTCCTCCACTTTAATCGAAATGTGTATCAATATTGTTTTATAATCCTTAAATTTAAAAAAAATTTTAAACGTGATCGGAAGAAAATCGATATTAATAATAATTTCATTTGTTTTATTTTTTCAAATTTTGTAAATAATATAAAACATTTTTATTATCTCAATTCTTCCAATCACGTTTGATCGAAATAAAAAAGATGCGTATTTCTGAATAAAAAAAAAAAATAAGAAATTAAAAAAAAAATAAATAACGTGTGAACGAATGGAATTCGATTTAACCCCGATTGACAAAAACAATTGCAAAAGTAAAAATAATACAAAAATAAACCTAATAGAGAAAAAATAGTAGTTAGGTGAGAAGAAACGAGTGTATGTGTCGTTTCTATACAGGTTGCCCGTAAATTGGCCATGGTCGAGGCCGATCTTGAGCGTGCCGAGGAACGCGCCGAGGCCGGAGAGTCGTAAGCATCCGTTTTTCAAAATCCGAATAATTTATTTTTTGTTCTCTTCTCATTATTATGTTTTTTTTTCTTTTTCCCCATTATCGACCTATAAATCCTTCAACATCATTCGTCCAACAACAAACAACCTTCCTTCGCCCTTTTTCCCCTTTCCGTTTTTCGCTCGGTGTGAACTCAAACCTGATCTTTCTCTAACGAGTGTTGCAAATATTTATCTATTTCGAATTTTTGTATTTTTATGCCTCGCACCTTCTTCACTCACCCTCTTGTCATCTCACCATTAATACAACCATCGTTTATGCTCATGACAAATCATTGAAAAGACAACGATCAAATGCATAATCAAAAAAAAAAAAATGTTTTTTTTTTTTTAGAATATTTTTTATTATACACGCTCGATATTTAGCTACCACGTTTATTAATTACGTCATCTCGATGTTGTTCTGCTCAATGTATTTTATTATATCCTGAGAAATATTGTCTAGACTTCTTAAATAATATTTCGCTCTTTTTCTGTCTCTATCTTTCTCTTTCTCTTTTTATCTATTTTTCTATCTATCCCCTCGATTAATTTGATTTCGTCTATGAATTTTTTCCCGCTGCACGTGTGCAACGTTATTATTAATTATTTCACTTTCAGACATTGTCGTAATAACGACATTTATTGCGTTTATGTATGATTGTGTGTACGTACGTATTCAAATTATTCCGTATGCTTCTACAACACTAATTTAAAGTATGCGTTCGTCTAGGGAAATCAAAAAAAATTTTTTCAAATTTTACTTCGTGTACTTTGATTAGTTTTTTTCATTGAATAATATTAATATTCCGTAATTAGATCGTAAATAAATAAACGTGATTTCCCTAGGAGTATGTTCGTGACCAATTAAAAGCGAGAAAGATTTTTTTTTAATATAAGCAAAATTTTTAAAAAATTGCAAATATTTTCTTAATAAACATACAGGGTAGGAATACTAAATCGGATCGTAATACTATTTAAAAGCATGTAATTCTATTAAAAAAAAAAAGATAATATTAACATTGGTAAAATAAATTATCTTACGAGTTAAAATTAAAAAAAAAATATATTTTCCACAAAAACATTTGAGTTTTCCAATTTAAATATCTCCGACCCTGCATTTATGCATAAATTCTTTTTTTTTTCTTTTATACAAAACCCTTATGGAATAATTAATTTTTTCACATGAGATTCAGATCAACGTGTAAGACAAAATCAAAAAAGAAATTTGTTTTCCTTTTTTCTTTCTCTTTCTCTCTTTTTTTGGCCACGAATAAAAGGCAAAGCGCAGCCGACACGATATGTTTATTTATCACACGGCACGGAGTGCACCGCGAGTGTCATGAATAATTTAACAGCTAACGACGAGACATAAGGAGGAGTAGGAGAAGGAGAAGGAAACGCAAAAGAAAAGCAACCATCCAAAGGATGAGGATGAGGATGAGAAGGAGACGAGGAGGAGTCAGTATCAACGTGTGTGTGATAGCTGAAGAATTAATATCCCTTAGCGTCTCGTTTTATTCTGCATGCGAGACTGAACGTTAACGCATATACATATTCATCTATTCAAACGATTTCTAATTTTTTAATATGTTTTTCCCTTTTGTTTTTATTTTCTTAGCCCAAACTTATTATTCTAAATTTAATTGTCCCCCTCCAAGTTTTTGGATCATAATATCAATAATCGTTTATCTGCAATTTTTGATTTTGTTTTATACTTATTTTCGCTGTCACACGTTCTCTCACACATATACACACATAAACACATATAGAAATGTTAATGCATTCTTGACATTATATCGTGAAATATATTTTATTACATTTTTCTTATAAATTAATTGGAATAGAAATAATAAAGTACAGTATCAATGATAAACAGAAAAAATCAAATTCACATTATTGGGGATTTAAGAATGTGTTAATATTTTATTTAATAATCACCGTCTTATCTCATATTCTTTTTATTTTGGTCATTTAATAAATCCTCTCATAATCAACCCTCCTGCTTCTTTCGCATGACACGTGTGGCTGTTGATCACAGGTCGCGAGGAAACTAGTCATGATGGAGCAAGACCTTGAAAGGGCCGAGGAAAAAGCAGAGTTGTCGGAAGCGTAAGTGGGACTACCCGCATTTTGCATGATCTTTTTCTTCTTTCTTCTAACTATTTTCCTATCTCTATCCATCTATCTATCTATCTACCTATTTATCCTTTTTTTCACTCAACTTGACTCAACTTTATTTTTATTTTTTATTTTCCGCCATTATCATTCCTCGTCGATGTTCTTCATCGTGCAATCGATTTCTCAAATTACAAAGATTTTTATTTATTATTATTATTATTATTATTATTATTATTATTATTATTATTATTATTATTATTATTATTATTATTATTATTATTATTATTATTTTTCCGCCATTATCATTCCTCGTCGATGTTCTTCATCGTGCAATCGATTTCTCAAATTACAAAGATTTTTATTTATTATTATTATTATTATTATNTATTATTATTATTATTATTATTATTATTATTATTATTATTATTATTATTATTATTATTATTATTATTATTATTCGTGATGAAATATGAGAATCATGCGTATAAAATATTAATTTGTTTTCTTTTCCTCCTCCAATTTGTAGAAACATTTAAATTTTTTGTACAATGAATTGAAAATAATTTTTAATTATTATACAATAAATTAAAAGAAAAAAAGAAATCTGTTTTTTGTTTGTTATTGTAATTATGAGATTTCGATCGTCGATAAGATCGGGGTAACAGGAAAGGGGCAAAAAATAATTAAAATTCTGTTAATTATTTTACGATGGTTATTGTTTTGTTTTTTTACAGCAAAATCGTCGAGCTTGAGGAAGAATTGCGCGTGGTTGGTAATAACCTGAAATCCCTCGAGGTTTCGGAAGAAAAGGTAAAACAAACAATTTAAAAAATCAATATCAATACGAATAAATTGCAAATACAAATATATCACAACTTTTTTAATACTCGATTAGAAAAGTCTCGGTGAATAATCAATTGAAATGCAACTTCGGATGTCAATTTTACCTGCTACAAAATAGGTTAATGAAAATTATAGGAACAAAAAACAATCAATAATTTTAATTACTCGTTTTGTTAATGAGAAAGATAATGAATGGATTAATTACAAGTATTTTTAAGTATCGGTAGTCGCTTAATTAATGGGTTTTTTTTTATCCGAATTAATGAAAAAAGAAACAAACTCTATCTTGCTATGTTTTCTCAATTTTTCTCAGTTTAATTCCACACTTTTGTTTAATTCAATTTCATTCAATTTTGAATACGTAATTAGTTAATGTTTTTTTTTTCCTTGCTTCCTTTTATAACTATATTTATTATCGAGAAATGTAATGTAATGTACTGTACGTAGGCCAACCAACGCGAGGAGGAATACAAGAACCAAATTAAGACCCTTACCACTCGTCTAAAGGAGGTACACATCCTTTGGGAGTGTCTTGCGCTTTTTACATTATTTATTCAGTCTTAATTTTATTTCATTTTATTTTGTTCTCATTAAAATAATTTTTTATTGTATTTTTATTTTCTGTTTTAATTTTTTGTTATTTTTATTTATTTATTTTTTTGGTTTGTTTCAATGGATCGATTTCTGCTGTGACGTCGCATTAGATTGTAGTACTAAAAAACATTAACAGATCTTGCCACCCTCTACCACCACCTTTTTCTTATACATACAAATATACCATTTTTCATCGAAGTTCGAATTTTGCAAGTGAATTTAGAGCATTAATTAGAAGTATACACCAACAATATAAATATAATTAAAATAATATATAAATCAACACAACTAATTGTCGTTTTTAATAATCTTGTACTAACAATGCCTCGTGTGTTTTCTTTTTTTTTTTGCCCAATCTTGTGCGCTTCACTAAAATTAGGCGACGCAGAGAGAGGAGACGTTCGAGGGACAAGTGAAGATCTTGGATAGTCAGTTGAAAGAGGTAAGCATGATTGAAAATGTTTATCAAAACGATTAAAGATATTTAAAAAAAAAATTATGCAATAAAAAATTAAGTAATAAAATATATTTAGGTTATATTTGCGTATATATGAAATTTGATAAAAATAAAAATTTTCTGCATAAAAATAAATAAATATTAAAATAATAGGCAAATACCAGCATGATCGACGATACATATAAAATATTTCTAACAATGTTTATATGTACATTTTTCGTGATTATTTAAATTCAAAAATGAACAAAATAAAATATAGGATAAGTGACGTAAACATTATCATCATCCTTGGAAGAATTATGTCACGTCGTTTCAGGTATGCGATGAATGCAAGTGTTGTTAAATTTTTAATCAATTTTTAATCATACACAAGGTTAATTATATATTCTTTACAAAAGTAAAATTATTAAAAACTTATTGTTAGAAAGATTAACAACGATAACAAATTAATTTGTTTTTATTTTTCATGAGTGTCCTTTTTTTGCATGGTGTGAAAATTTTACCAATATAATACCATACGATTTTAAGGAAATATACGACGTCGATTTCGAAAATTTTCAATTGCAATTGCAATAGCAAATTATATTTATTTATCATAATGTTGAATTAAAATGTTATTTTCTTTTCTTTCTTTTTATTCATTTGTGAAAAAATCTGGAAGATATTATTACAATCGAATTTCGAATTCGATTGATCTCATTTTGTAAATTCTTTTTTGTGAAAATTTTTCTTCTTTTTATTTATATTTTGAAATTGACGAAAATAAAAAGATATACGTTAGTTACTTCGAATTGAATGTAATTAATTGTAAAATATTTTACAGGCTGAGGCTCGTGCCGAGTTCGCAGAGAGATCCGTGCAGAAACTCCAGAAGGAGGTCGACAGGCTCGAAGGTGCGTATAAAATCAAAATAAACAAGATGACGAGTGTCGTCGGTTATCTCGTCGTTTTTAAAAAAGAAAAAAAATATGGCGACTTCTGTTTTTTAAACGCGTCCTTATCAGTTCGATTCTGTTTCAGCAACATTTTCTGTTTCTTTAGAAAACAAAAATTTATTTTAATTACATATATTTTTTTTTACTTAATACATTAAAAACTAGCCGATTTTTATTTTATTTTTGTTTAATTTCACACACCCTGTCTTTCTTTCTTTCTTTCTTATATTATTTTATTTTATTCCATTTTATTATTATTTTATCATTCTTGTTCTTTATATTATAATTTATTTTAAAAGCATGTATTATCGTAAAGCATCGATATTTTGAATTATCGTAGTTATTATTTTGTTCATGTATTATGTACATACATTCATAGCAAGAAAGAGAGAGAGAACAAACATAATCGATCATATTTGATTATCTACAATGTTTATCGCTCGTTGCCGTCGATTGAAATTTCTTCAAGATTTCAGATCAATATAAAGGTGTATTATACTTGTACACACGTATATTATATTTTGAAAAGAAAAATATCTCGAGGTAATCGGATATCATGCAAAACTATCTTTTAACAGATCAAAATAACATTTGATCGACGTTTGATTTGTTTATACGGCTCTTAATTACGAATGCATTAACATCAATTCGACCAATTGTCAATAAAAATTCAATTTTAATAAACAATAAATCATGTAATTTAGAAAAAGACAAGAACAAATTATTTGAATTAAAAAAAAATTAAAAAAATTAAAGAAAATAAAAACTATTTGGAAACGAGAATCACAATTTTGCTGATGACAAAAATTTAGAAAACACGATGACTAAGCCAAAAAATTCATAATAACTTTTAACAATAAATATAGAAAATAAAATTGGATTTTTGTTAGACGCAAAAAAGAAGCTTTAAAAGAAAAAAAATTAATAAAATTATTTCCAAGCACGATGATTGATGATCGTGACAATAACATTAGAAACCAAGCAAGCCTTCTTACTTTTTTAACACATTGCGTACGGCACACTGTTTGCGTAGGTAGGATACAGAGCTACTGTTCTAATAGCTGTAATGATCCATTGATTAATATTAACATTAATTTTTTTCGTTAATTAGAGATTAGGATAATACACGAGACTCCGTTAACCTGGTGTTTTCTTATTACGTTAGTAATAAGAAAATCAAATTTTGATTCCATCATTAATTAAATCATGAAAACGAGATATCTCGTGACCCGTACGCAATGTGTTAAAACAAACATTAAAATGCAGTTTTTCTTGCAAGCTCGTGTGCCGTGTTTTCCTATTGCATCGCATAACTCCCCTTCAACTATTGCACCCCCCCCCCC